GTGTATGTGACTGGCGCCTTAGCCACTTGAGCCACAGGCGCCCAGCCATACACATAGTATTGTAGAAGATCTGAATAGGAAACAGTATTTGTTTCCTGGTCTTCCAGCGTTCAGAGTACTACCTCACCTCACACTGTTTCAACACTGGGCAGCAGGGCAGTGCCTGTGGCTAAATGGGTAGGGCACCGGCCCCATATAAGGAGGGTGGTGGGTTTGAACCCAGCCCCGGTCAGCTAAAACAGCAGTGGCAACTGCAACAAAAAATAGCCAGTGTTGTGGCAGGTGCCTGTGATCCCAGCTACTTGGGAGCCTGAGACAGAAGAATCGTTTAAGCCCAAGAATTGGAGGTTGCTGTGAGCTGTGATGCCACAGCACTCTACCAAAGGTGACAGTGAGACTCTGTCTAAAAAAAAAAACCTTGGGCAGCAGACACTCATTTTATTGAACCTCTTATACAGCTAAACAGTCCCTCCTTGAAAACTCTTCTATTAACTTCCACAACATCACACTCTCTGGGTTTCTTTCTAGCTATGGCTGCTCCTTGTTAATCTCCTTTGCTAAAAATTCTTCCTTAGGGCTGGGTGCCATGGCTCATGTCTGTAATCCTCGCACTCTGGAAAGCCAAAGTGGGTGGATTGCCTGAGCTCACTGGTTGGAGACTAGGCTGAGCAAGAGCTAGACCCTGTCTCTAAAAAATAGCTGGGCATTGTGGCAGGCACCTTTAGTCCCAGCTACTTGGGAGACTCTGTCTGTAAAAAAAAAAAAAGCCGTAAGTGACTCTCTAGACTATTGCTCTTAGCAAAAAACCCACAGTTGGCTGGGTGCAGTGGCTCAGGTCTGTAATCCTAGTACTCTGGGAGGCCAAAGCAGGAGGATACCTTTAGCTCAGGAGTTTAAGACAAGCCTGAGCAAGAGTGAGCCCCCATCTTTACTAAAAATAGCTGGGCTTTGTGGTGTGAGGTGGTAGTCCCAGCTACTCAGGAGGCTGAGGCAGGAGGATTGCTTGAACCCAGGAGTTTGAGGTTGCTGTGGCCAACACAGCACTGCAGCCTGCAGCAACAGAGTGAGACACTGCCTCTAAAACAATAAAATCAATCAAACAACAACAACAAAAAACACACAAAACCACTTCACAGTCCTTACCATACCCCAGGGCCAATTTGCCCCTTCCTTCCTCTGTGACCTCAAGCCTGTCATGCTCCCTTGCTCACTAAGCTTCTGTGACACTGATCCCCTTGTTGTTTCTTTACACCTAAACCCTTTTCTTGTGCCAGGTTTTTTACACTTGGTTTTTTCTTCTTCATGAAATGCCCTCTCTCTTCTTCCCCACCTCTTTATGTGGCTGTTTCTCATCTTTCAGGTCTCAGCTGAAATATCCATTCTTCGGAGAGGCTTCTCCCCACCAACACATTGTTTCTAAAAATGGGTTCCCCCATTTACTATTTTATACCCTGTTTATTTCCTTTATAGAAATGTATCACATTCAGTTATCATGTTCTTTGTTTACCTGACTATGTTTCCTCTCTTCCAGCCTGATGAAGGTGAGGATCATGCCAATATGTTTCTGGCTTTGTCCTTTGTGTTTAGAACACTGCCTAATACATGGTAGACTCTCAACAGGTATTTGTGGAACCGATGAGTCAATGACTAATGAAACTACTCTCTGTAAGTCCCCTTCTCTCTATCTCTTTATTATCTCTTGAATCTGTCCCCACCATCATTATAACCACTGGCCTGGGTCAGGCACTGTCACCTCCAACCTGTATTTCTGGAATAATTTCCAACTCAATGGATCTATTGGTTTCTCCTTCTCAGTCGCTCCTTCCTCCACTCAGCAATCATGAAAATGAGCTTGTAAGATGAAAATAAGATTGTGTCACACCCTGCTTAAAGCTTCGGTACTCCCCTGCTACTTGCAGGAGGAATTTCAAATCTCTCAGGTCAACACTCAAGGCCCTTAGGTACTCTGGCTCCTGCTGCCACCTTGGTGGCATCTTACAGAACTCGATTCTCTACCCCATCCACCTTACCTATGACTGCACAAAAACCATCTACAGTTCCCCTGACAAGGCAGGATGTTTTCACTTGTGTGAGATGGTCCCTCCTCCTGAAGTCTCTTCCTACACTCCATCCTACTAACCCTGCTAGAATATAACTCAGGCCCTCTTCTGGGAACAAACTCTCACCATACACCATGTACTTCTTTATCAAAGCCCTTATGAGGATTTGTCTACCCTCCTACTGGTTCGTCAGGTCTCCCAGGTACTGCCCAGGTCTTGTGTGGCCTGCTCACACAATGCTGCCCAAAGTGATCATTTGGTAGGGAGCATGGAGCACTTGATAAATTTTGTGGAGATTATATGATATGCATGCAAAATACACTCCATTACTTCCAGACCCCACAACCTTCAGTGGCTTGCAGTTGTCCAACACAACCTATAAGGTCCCCTCTTCACTGAGTCCTGTTTGTTTCTCCAGCTTGGCTTTCTTCCACACACACACACACACACACACACACACACATTATTCTGTTTCATGCCTCCATGTCTATACTATCCCCTCTGCCTAGAATGCCTGTTGTACCCCTTTGTCCTAGTTTTGGTGCCCTTCCTCTGTGCATTTACCCTTTCATTTAGTACATGGCATTCTCATTTGTTTTCTTTTTTTTTTTTTTTTTGAGACAGAGTCTCACTTTGTCACCCTTGGTAGAGTGCTATAGCATCCTAGCTCACAGTCCTGGGCTCAAGCGATTCTCTTGCCTCAACCTCCCAAGTAGATGGGACTACAGGCACCTGCTACAATGCCTTGCTATTTTTATTTACTATTATTATTTTTTAGAGACAGAGTCTCACTTTATCGCTCTCCGTAGAGTGCTGTGGCATCACAGCTCACAGCAACCTCCAACTCCTGGGCTTAGTCGATTCTCTTGCCTCAGCCTCCTAAGTAGCTGGGACTACAGATGCCCTCCATAACGCTCAGCTATTTTTTGTTGCAGTTTGGCCAGGGCCAGGTTTGAATCTGCCACCCTTGGTATATGGGACCAGTGTCCTACCAACTGAGCCATAGGTGCCGCCCCATGCCGGGCTATTTTTAGAGACGAGGTCTCACTCTGGTTCAGGCTGCTCTCTAACTATGAGCTCAGGCAATCCACTCATCTCAGCCTCCCAAGTGCCTGGCCCTTCTCATCTGTTTTCACGCTTTTCTCCCCCAATAGAGGACAGGGCCCCTGAGCTTTGTCATTATCTCCCAACGATTAGTATAGGGCCTGACAGCCAATCAAGGCAAACAAAATATTTATGTTGATTATGTGGTTTGGAGGCATATAGTACGGAGTCAAAACCAGAAAGGGCCAGCATGCGCTGTATGGGGAAAGTGAGACCAGAGTGTTTATCAGTGGCTTACTCCCCCAAATGGCAGAACTGGCTTGATATCAAAACCAGCCTGATCTTACTGCCCTCTCCTCTTCAAGGGCTGCTTCTGTGTAACCACATGAATTTCCCCAGTGTCTCTGATCTGCTGCACATGGAACCTAAATTTCCAGACACAAGATCTTCTGAGTCTTGGGAATGGGGTGCAATGCTGCATAGCTCTGGATTTTTGAGAGCTTGAAGGATTGAAGGAATAAAATTACATGGTGACTGAAAGAGGTTGCCACATACTCTGTGACTTTCTCAGATCCCTGGGCTTGATTTTCTTTCTTCCTTTATCAGTGGTTCTCAACCTTCCTAATGCTGCGGCCCTTTAATACAGTTCCTGTGGCTCGCAACCCACAGGTTGAGAACTGCTGGTTTAGATAAAGGAACCCAGGCCTGGGTGTGAGGGGAAACTGTGTCTGCCTCTCCTTCTCCCTTGGCCCTGAGAGCCAACCTGCCGTTTTCCATGTAGTGCAGGAAGTAGCCTGGGATCCTGAGGGCTGGCAGAAGGCAGTGAAAGGAGAGCTTGGTCACTGGCACAGCTGCTGCTATAGCAGCCAGAGCCAAAGGAGGTCACCATTGATCCCACATGCACTTAATTTTCCTTTCCATGGCAAGGGACAGAGTCCACCAGGAGAGCTGAGGGGAAGGAAGGCAGGTGGTGGTGCTTGAGGTTGAGATGTAGCCAGTCACTTTCTCTCTCTGGGCCTTAGTTACTTCAGTGTAAGATCAGGGGGCACCATATAACTAAAACCATCATTTCCTGCTGGTCCCTACACTCTCCAGCAAGGTCGTCAGAGCTGCAAGATCACCACGGGATGGGAGGGATGGGAACCAGACAGGAGTTGGACGAAGCCCAAGGAGGGCAGGACACTGCCCCTGGAGATCCCTGAGACCTAGGGGCAGACTCTCCTCCCTAAGCACAAAGGACCCTAGAGTCATTAGACTCCCAGATCCAGGACATCCGTTACTCTACCCTCCGGATAGACACCCAAGCTCCAGGTCTGGCTGGGTCCAGAGGTTCCAGGGGGAAGACCAGGCCATCGCCACTGCCCTGGCGTCAGGGAGTAAAGAGAAAGCGCCTCTTTGAGCCCCATCTGTGGCCAGCCACGGCAGCTCGTTTCGGTCTCGCAACCCCAGCCGGCTCTCAGCCTGGAGACCTCAAACGCACCAGCCACCAGAGCCTCCGGCGCTCTGTGTCGGCCCCACCCCGGCCCCGCCCGCCCCCCGCCTCAGTCTCCGGCCGGAAGCCCCCTCCGCCTCTCCCTCAGCCTACACCCCGTCACAAGCCCCTCTCCCGGTACCAGTCCAGTAAACCTTTCTCCGCCCTGGCCCGCCCTCTTCCTCCAGCTCCACCTCCGCCCGGGCTCCCACGTCCAGTCCTCAAACCTACTCCTGGCCCCGCCCAAGCCCCGCCCCAACCCGGTCCCGCCCCGCCCCGGCCCCTCGACAGCCCCCGACCCAGGCTCCGCCCCGCCCACTTCCCGCCTCTGGCCGGAGCCTCCTGGCCCTGCTAGTCCCTTCCCCGGCCCCGCCCCCGGTCCCCGGAAGCCTCTCCCCGCCCCCGGCCCCGCCCCCCCGAAGTTTCTTGGGCCCCAGGAGGCGGGCGGGACAGATCGCAGAGAGCCGCCGCCCGGCGGGGAGTAGATGGAGGTGGCCGAGCCCGCGCGGCGCCGGGAGTGAGCGGCAGAGCAGGGGACCGCAGAGGACTCGCCATGGAGGAGGAGGTGAGGGCAGGGCCCGGCGAGGGTGCTGGGATGGGATCTTCGAGCCCGTCATAAGACTTAGGGTCCTGAGCTCAGGCCCTCGTTCCTGCTCGCCCTACTCCTGCTAATCTCGGGACCATAGCCCCTGCACCCTAGACAGCCTAGGCAGATGAGGCAGGGGCTAGGGTAGGAATCTGCATCAGGCACTTCGAAGACCACGTCTTCCTTCATTATCTCTTTGGCTTTTCTCACTGGTTGTGGAGCTTCATGTTTGTTGTTGTTCCCATTGGACTGATAGGGAGACTGAGGCTCCCTTGAGTTTTATGCTGAGACTGGCCTGGGCTACTGTGCTCGAACGCTGGTTACCGCTGACTGCCCGCGCAGGTCGGGTCTGAGGGTGCAGATATGTGTGGTGGGAGGCGTTCTGTAGGTTCTGCGGTCCCTGACTCTAGGAATCAGCGGTTGTGACCATGCCTTGGAGGCTGGAGGACTGGAGAACTTGCTTTTTTCTCCCTTGTGTAAGTCTCTGTGAATCTCCTTCCTCCACCCTCTTCCCTGCTCCACATCTTGAGTATGCTCTATCTGGAAGGTGGGCAGAAGGCAGGCCCACATAGGGCCCCATCCTGGCCCCCGCCTTCCCCACATCCCTAGGAAGGCTAACTCCCAGAAGGAACTGAGGGACCAGCAGTGCCCCTTAAGCTTCCTTTTATACCCCCTTAGGATACTCTTGGTGTTGGGTGGGGTCAGCCTGTCGGATCCTTGCTGTTTGCTTGAAAACTCTGCCTGGTAGCCCATCTTCCAAAGGTCTAGCACCCAGCAAGTGCTTACTGTATGCCTGTGTAATGAATAAGTTAGAAAGAGGGGCCTGCGGGGTCTAGAGGTAGGTGAATTTGTTTCTTATCCCCCGAAGAGAGTCCCACCTTCTGCCTCTCCCAGCCCAAGGGAAAAGGGGTCTTTGCTTGGATGGGTGAGGAGGAAAGATAAAGCTTTCTCTTGAGGCAATCCTGGCCAGCTAGGGAGCCCTGAGTCGACCAGGCTGCCTGTGTCCCTATCAGTGTATACTCCCTACTTCCCTTCCCGAGGCCACTGTTTGTTAGGAGCAGCTAGGCTGTCAGGGTGCCCTCCAGGCCAGGCCCCACATTTCTGTGGGATGGTAGATAAGTCACTTCCCCTCTCAGCCTTCATTTCCTCTTCTGTGAAATACAAGGCCTGGCCTCCTCCCCTGGGCCTGACTGTATGATTGTGGCCCCTTCTTTCACAGTGGGTGGAGGTAGGGGGCAAAATCAGGCCACTGTGATTTACCATGGTTTTTTTCTTGCTGTCAGGGTGGGACTCTGGTTTCTGCCCCAGGTCCCTAATGTGAGGGCGGGGCTCTCTGGCCAGGGCTCCTCCTCCTCTCCCAGAGGATGTGGGTCAGGATTACTCCATCTCCTGATCTGCTCTGGCCCCTAATTAAGGGAAGTTCTCTGGGGATCTCTTGAGTCTGGCCCAGCTCTGTGCCCCCCTTGGTCCTGCATCTCTAATATTACCCCAGCCCCTGTAAGCCTCACCCACATAACCAGGGGCTCCCCATCTCCTACCTCCCCTTTGGCATCCCTAAATCCTCTTCCTCCTCCCAGTAGCTTCCCCTGTTTCACTGGGCTTCAATGCCCATCTTTGTTTCTCTAAAACTCCTCTGAGATCAAAGTCACCTGCTCTGCCCTACGACCCCATCTTTTTTTCTTTTCTTTTTTTCTTTTTTGTGATAGAATCTCAAGCTGTCATTCTGGGTAAAGTGCGTGGCATCACAGCTCACAGCAACCTCAAACTCTTGGGCTTAAGCAATTCTCTTGCCTCAGCCTGCCAAGTAGCTGGGACTACCAGCACCTGCCAAAATGCCCAGCTATTTTTTGGCTGTAGTTGTCATTGTTGTTTGGTGGACCTGGGCTGGTTTAGCACCTGCCAGCTCCAGTGTATGTGGCTGGCGCCCCAGCTGCTTAGCTACAGGCCCCGAGCCACTATGACCCCATCTTCATCACCTCCTTTTCACCTAGTTGCTTTCAGCTCTCCTGGTGGCTTTGAGCTTCCCTATGTCCCATTCACTCTGGAGCAAGACTCCTCAGCCTCAGTGACCTCCCCTGTACAGTGGGCTGGTAGACCCTGTCAGGCTGAGACTTGGTGAAGAAGTGCTGGTTTGAGTACCTGTCCACCTGTGTTCTCTGGGCCTCAGTTTCTCCATCTGTAAAATGAGAGGGGTAGGTGTTCCAGAAATATGGTGATGTATGTGCAAAAGCTTTGGAAAGGGCAGATATACATGACGATTGTTGTTGCTGCCATTGGGGTAAGGCTGGGAATCTTGGACTTAGGTTTTTCCATTTCTGCTCTAGGGCTCTGCCCTCTTCCCCCATTAGCTCTTTCTCTGGCTCAGCCTTTGTTGTTTCTGAGCTGCCCACTTGCCTTCACCATCTAGAGACAGGGCAATGTCCTAGATGCCTTGCCTCCCCCACCTCAGAGCCCTACCCAAACCCTGCCTTCTGCAAGTGTCTCCCAAACTAACCCCAAGCCCTTACCTCACTAGAGAGCTGGCGGATCCCATAGGACAAGTGCTGTGTCAAGTAGGAGATGTCCCCCCATCCCTGACTGGGGACTTCCTTGTGTAGGGTCTGTGTTGCCCCCATCAGACTTGAACTTCCTCCAGGGCAGAGCCTGTGTCCTCTCTCTGAATGCCCCATCACAGGGCTCTGACATGGTGGATTCTTTTTTTTTTTTTTTTTTTGAGACAGAGCCTCAAGCTGTCCCCCTGGGTAGAGTGCCGTGGCATCACAGCTCACAGCAACCTCCAACTCCTGGGCTCAAGCGAGTCTCCTGCCTTCACCTCCCAAGTAGCTGGGACCACAGGCGCCCGCCACAACGCCCGGCTATTTTTTGGTTGCAGCCGTCATTGTTGTTTGGCGGGTCCGGGCTGGGGATTCGAACCCGCCACCTTAGGTGTACGTGGCTGGCGCCTTAGCCGGTTGAGCTATAGGCGCCGAGCCGACATGGTGGATTCTTGATAGAGTTTGGTCAGAGCACCATTCGATTTAGTTAAAGGGCAAAAGCTGCCCGTGACATGAGGTGCCAACAACAAAGTTTATTCTGCAGGTCTCTGTCTCTCTGTCATATTGTATTATGGCTTTCCATTTGTCCCCTTCTATAAATAAGGTCAAGGTGATCTAGCTTTTTTTTTTCTTTCATTTAAATGAGGACCCAGAGTCCCTCATATGTCAGGCTCATGGGTGCCATAGGAGCTTCTCACAGCTGGCTGGAAAGGGCCGGGGTGAGGGTGGATGGGAGGAAAGAGAGTAAAACAGGAAGAACAGTGGTCAGCTGGTTAATAAGGAGAGAAGGCCGAGAAACTGGGCTGAGCAGGACAAAACCTCCCCTGTGAGCCCTGCCAAGGGGAGGGGCCCCTTATTAAAACTTACTGGGGCATAGCCAGGCCCCCTGGAAGGAGGGGTCTGAGGGGCAGGGAAGGGGGCTGAGTGGAGGCTGGAGGCAAGTAGGATCCTGGCCTCTGGCCAGACCTCCCCTGGGTGGCTGTTGCTGTGGCTGGTCTTTGGTTCACACCATCTGCATCTTGGCTGTTCCTTCTTCCATCCCAAAGTGCTGTCCCGCCCAGTCCTGCCTGGGTCCCACCCATCCTTCAAGGCTCTGGACTTGCTTCCCTCGCTAATCCAGTCATGGTACTCTCTGGGCCCTGATGTGCCACACCTGGCCTAGAGGTGACAATGATCTAGGCACAGTTTCCAGCCTTGCCCCTTGGAGCTTCCAGTTGGTAGGAAGTTTTCAGGGGAGGTCTCAAGTAGAGGGAGTTTAGAAAAGGGTGTGAGATCCCATGGGGTGGTGAGTAGGCCCCCTGAAAAGCAGGAGGCAAGCTTGGAGCTCAGAGTTGGGAGATGGGGCAGTAGCTTCACCCTCCATGGCCCTCACTGCCTTGTTTAAGAGAGGCCAAGAATCTTCCCATCAGTGTGGAGGGTCTAGGAGGTGACCAATAGCGTTATAGTTGCTGGTAGGAGGGTGTGAGTATATGAAATGTGGGGTGGGATTTCCCATTTACAGTACCAGTTCTTACCTTTCAGCCCTGGCCTGTGACAGTTTGCAAGGGTCACTGAAGGGATTGGGCCACTGGGGGTCACGAAATTCATGGGCTGGAACACAGGGCCTTAGTAGTGATGTAGTGAGGGAGTTGGGTGCATGATAGGATGGAAGAGCTTCTCTCTGTTCTTGTCAAAAGGCTCTGAAGTCCTTCTTCCTCTGGACAGGGTGGCTTATCACTGGCTTGCCTCTTACTTCCTTATTCCTGTATCCGGGAAGACCGTTTGGGACCATCCCATTTCCCCATTTTTCTTGCCATCTACAAGTTAGGGAGAGACCTTAGGAGCAGGGGCATATTCCTGGAGCTCCTGGAGGTCTGAGGCTAGCACCTGTGGTTCAGAAAGGCTTTGTCCTGAATTGAGAGCTAGGCCCAGGGAGAGGGTCCCTGAAAGCCTAAGGAGATGGCAGGGACAAAAACAGTAGCAGTAATGACAGTCACCATTTACTGGGTTAGCATATCCTAGGAGATACTTTATGTGCCTTATCTTTATTCAGCAACAGACATTTATTGAGCAGTTACTACGAGCAGGCATAGTCTAGGCATTAAGAACATAGTCGTAAATAAACCAAAATCCCTGACCTTGGGTAGTTATACTCCTTAACTACTGAAGTTAACTACTTATCAACTTTTGCTGTTAATATCTCCATTTCACAGACGAAGAAATGGAGGCTTAGAGAGATGAAATGGTTTGCCTCAGTCTACAGGACTGGGGCGCCCAACCACCAGCCTATGCAGTTCAGAGAAGGGCAGGGGCCACGGAGGGAACCGGGCTGGTGCTCCCCTGCTGTGACAAAGAGCAGGGAAGCTGGGCCCTGCCTGACTCCTAACAGCTCACCACACTTGTATCTGCCTAGGCTTGTCCTTCTAAAGGCAGCTGTGGCTGCAGGGTATCCCTGGGGAGAGGCATGCCTCTTTTAACTAGGGCCCATTTTTCTTAAGTTTTATGTAAATTACAACGTAGTCAAAATTAGTCAGTGCTAATTTCCTTCCAGCAGCCTCTAGATTCTATCATACCCTTGACTACCTCTCTTCCTCCCTCCCCTTCACACTCACCACTCTGGGTACCAGTCAGTGTAACAAAGTGGTTAGCAAATTGGGTATATTTTTATTTTCATTTCATAGGTTTTTTTTTTTTTTTTTTGAGACAGAGTCTCACTCTCTTGCCCTAGGCTAGAGTGCGTGCCTTGATGTCATAGCTCACAGCAACCTCAAACTCCTAGGCTCAAGCATCTTTTAGCCTCAGCCTCCCAAGTAACTAGTACTGCAGGTGACCATCACAACATGTGGCTAATTTTTCTTTTTTCTTTTTTTTTGGGGGGGGGGACAGAGTCTCACTTTGTCATGCCCAGTAGAAAGCCATGGCATCATAGCTCACAGGAACCTCAGACTCTTGCCTCAGCCTCCTAAGTAGCTGTGACTACAGGCACCCAAAACAATGAACACCTGGCTATTTTTTTTTTTTTTTTTTTGCAGTTTTGGCTGGGGCTGGGTTTGAACTCACCACCTCCAGCATATGGGGCCAGTATCCTACTCCTTTGAGCCACAGGCGCTGCCCACACCCTGCTATTTTTAGAGGCAGAGTCTCGCTCTAGCTCAGGCTGGTCTCGAACTCATGAGCTCAGGGGATCCACTCACCTCAGCCTCCCAGAGTGGTAGGATTACAGGTGTCAGCCCACTGCACCAGGCTTAATTTTTCTACTTTTTTTTTTTTTTTTGAGACGGAGCCTCAAGCTATCCCCCTG